TCAAAAACAAATAAGTTACTTAGCTCATTCAATAGTTCAATCTTCTTTTAATCATTGAAGTAAGTTGTAACCTAATAGACTTGCTCAATGCATACAATATAATTGTTAAAAGAAATCAATTAAATTCTTAAAAGGAAAATCAATCGATAAACTAAAATAAATGTAAGTTGGTTTTAGGAAGAAAAAAAATATTATGTTTGAAAAATTAGTTTGAACAAAAAATTAAACTCGTTTTAAATGAATTAGATTTAAATTTTAATATTTGAGGTTAAAGTTTGTTTCAACATGTTTTTAAGTTTATATAATAAATTATATTATAAAGATGTTTTTGAGTTTGTTTCAAGATGTTAAGTTATTATGGTATAAATAGTTAAAAATAAATTTGTTTAAAAAATATATTAAATTATTTAATATTATTTTAAAAAAGTAAAAAATTAATATGGATGGATAAAAATAGATTTGGATTAATTATTTATGAAAATAAATAAATTTAAATTAAACATAAGACATATTTCAAACTGAATCAAACATAAACTAGTAGCTGAATTTAGTAATAGAGTTTGGGGGGCCAACTTAAAACTTAAAACTTTTTAGAGGTTTGAATAAAAAATTTTAAAATTTTTGAAGAGTTCATTTTACATTTTTTTTAAATGGGGTCTGACTAAATTTTTTAAAAATTCAAGAGGCTTAATGAAAATTTTTGAAAATTACGGGAGGGGCTTAATTAAGAACATTCAAAAAATTTTAAGTTTAATATGAATTTTTAAAAATTATGTGGGGGTCAAATTATTTTTTTATTTAAAGGTCTGAAACTAAAGTTTTAAAATTTTTGGGAGTCATGGCCCCCATATATCCCTACTTAGTTCCGCGCCGAACATAAACAAATATAATATTTGATTATTTAGGTGAGATTAAGGGTTTGAATTTTTTCGATTGTAAATGAAATAAATTGGATTAGAATGATTGTTCTCGTAATAGATCTTTGCAAAACTCGATCTGAATTAGTCAATCGATTGATTAGATAGCAGTAGTTAATTCAAATAAAAAGGGCAACACACGTCTGTTACCTTTGAACTTTACTAAGGTTTTCAAAATGACCCTAAGCTTCTAAAAATTACAATATTCATCCAAGATTTCTACAAAATTCTAATTTTGACCATTAAAATTTTCAAGAACTACCAAAATGACCCCAAACTTTTAAAATTTATATTTTCATCTTGAATTTCTAAAAACTTATGATTTAGTCCAAATTCGAATTAAATTTTCGTATATAAAGTCTTGTTTCTATCCAAGATTTTATTACCGTTGATGTAATTAGGAATATAAATTTTACATGTTTCTAATCTTATTGCACTGAATTTTATTATAAACGTTATAAGTACAATATTTTTTATACCATTTAAGTATTTAAATTTTAGTCCATATCAAATATTACATATAAATCGATTTATATATAATATTTTATCTTTAATAAAACTATAGAATTGCTCAACACATTCAATATACTTGTTGCTTATTACAAGGAATCAATGATTAAATTTAAGATGGTTTAGGTCAAAATATTAGGTGAGATTCTTACAGTAAAACACAACTTTTAACCAAAGTATCACTATAGTTTAGAAATTGTACGATACCAACACTGCTTTGTGCTTCCTATAATGCTTCAGTTCCATCCATGGCAGCCTTTTTTAATCCTTCTGTTTTCCTTTATCTGCCTTGTGGATGGACAAGTTGAGAGAATTTGTCATCCTGATTGTTAAGCTCTTCATTCAATTCAATGTCATTGCCTTGTCTGCTGTTTCCTTGTCTTTGGCTTGTTACATCGGAATCTCTCGAAGCGGGAGTGTCTCGGTCGATCGAACTGCCGGGGGTATCCGAGCTTTCTTGCAGCTGAAGAGCAAACTCGAGGTTCCACAGGACGTCTCCCATGTTAGGCCGCTCGATTCCTTGATCGGATAAGCATTTCACTGCTGTGTGTGTAAACTTCTGTAGACATTCTGTATCTATTTTCCCTTTCAAATGAGGGTCGATAATCTCTTCTAGTGTTCCGTTCTTGTGACAAAGAAGTGCCCAATCTGCAAGACTAACTTGTTCCTTTGGAAGGCTGGGATTCAGGACTGGTCGAGCGCATAACGCCTCGAATAGGGCGACACCAAAGGAGTACACGTCGGATTTTTCGGTAAGTTGTTGTCTTCGGAAGTATTCGGGGTCTAGGTAACCGAAGCTACCTTTCACCACTGTACTTACATGGCCTTTATTCATATCGGGACCGGTTTTCGACAGCCCGAAATCCGAAACTTTAGCAACCCATTTTTCATCCAAGAGAATGTTTGTTGTTTTGACATCTCTGTGAATGATGGTGTACTTTGCTCCTGTGTGAAGATAGTGAAGTCCCCTGGCTGCTCCAATGCAGATTTTCAATCTTTGTTTCCAAGAAAGAAAAGGTTTCTTGTTGTTGTAAAGGTGTTCCCTAAATGTCCCAAGAGCCATGTAGTCATAAACCAAGCACATTTCACCACCATCCTCACAGAAACCAATCAATGAGACCAAATGCTTGTGTCTCAATTTCGAGAGCATCTCGACTTCGGTTTCGAACTCGTTAATCCCTTGTTCGGATGACGGATTGGATCGCTTGACAGCCACTTTGGTGCCCCCGTCGATAACTCCTTTGTACACCTTACCGAAGCCTCCGACTCCTATGACATAAGAGTCATCGAAATTCTTTGTGGCTTGTCTGATTTCTGATATAGAGAAATGGCGAGAAAGGCCTTGAGCCAACGCTGAAGCTTGGTTACTACTGCTCTTGCCTTTGCTTCCGGTTGTATTGGATTTCCCGAGCGGAAGCCAGCTCGACGTATGCGAGTCAAACCCGGCTCGTTTCCTCTTTCTGTAGGCGAGAAACGCCAGTGTAGCTACGACAAAAGCTGCTGCAGCACCTCCTGCAGCCCCTGCAATAACAAAACTATGGTTGGACTTGGATTCGAAAGACTTCTTGGGCTCATTCCCCGATTGAAGAAGCATGGACGATGGTTGCGGATTGCTGCCAGCCAAATTCTTGTTCACATCATTCAACTTAAATCTTTCAACTCCGTTGAGCAGAGAATCGTAGTACTGCGGTTTCGATTTGGTGGCCGGACTCATTTGTATCCGAATCATTTCATCATTTGGACCATCATTAACACTGATTGCATAATCTTTGCAAGTTGGAACACCTTTTCCTCCTGTCATTGCAATTACATCTGTCGGATCAGCTTGTGCAGATTGATTGTTGATGTAAACATTGAAAACTCTCTGGTTCACCATGTCATATTTGAATTCACAAAAATGTAATCTCACAATGTATGTGAAATTGGCATCAACCTGAAACAACCATGTCAGGTTGAACTTCATGTTCAAATCATAATCTAGTCCCATTTCTCTAGCTGTCCTATAAACATCTTCGGGAGCCGAAGAACGAGACAAGTCTTTGTAATTGATCCGAACATGTTTGTTTGCCTGAGTATCGATACCATTTGCAGAACCAAAAATGTAAGGATCATCATTATAGCAACTCCTCAAAAGGCCTCCGGAATCGTTGCTAGGAGGAATAAACTGTCCACCAACATTCAACCGGAACATGTCTGAAAATTCTCGGACGAAACATCGAGGTCTGATGAATCATATCCCACCACAGTTGTCTCGCCGAATAGATTCGGCATGGCGATCAATTCGATCCCATTTACGAAAGCGAAGGATTTGGTGTACTTAGTACTAGGTGTGAAGGTGATGTTTAAAAACTCGGAATCCGAATGTGCCAATGAATACTCTCGTACGAGATAAGCCTGCGTGAGGGCTTTACATGTGATTTCAGCACTGAAATTGTTCATCAGAGTGACTCCCCCAGCAGTCACCGAGAAAAATGAATTGCTGATGTTGAAGTTGGGGTAAGCTGAAGGATAAAAATGAAACCTGACCAGGTACCGTTCCTTTGGTCTTATCGGAAGCCGATACATAGCTGGCGACGTGAAGATCCGAGCATTCATGTATGTGATTACCGAAAGAAGTGAAGGGTCTTGATCCGCAGCTTGAAGCTGAGTTGAACTACCGGATGTTTTAAGGAACTTCGCATCTGGTTCCCAGTTCCTTCAATCTTCATCTTTACCACCATTGGAACCACAGGCAACAGACAAAGGCTTGCTCGAAACAAGAACAAAGACATGGAGATTGAGAGAAAAACAGACAATAGAAAGCAATAAATGTTGTCTGTTGTTAGAAAATGGAAACAAAACACCAAGGAGCATATTCAATGGCGTACAGGAAAAACAAAGCAATAAAACAAAAACAATTCTTTGTTTGGCTTTTGAAGTTTATGATTAGTCTAAATAATCATCCTCTATTCTTCCATGGTTTGCACCAACTTCCCTTTATTAAAGGGATCAAACCAGAAAGATCAACAAAGAGGATAATGTTGAGGAAAAAAAAGGTCGTTGGAAACTGAGAGAGAAAATTTGCTAAATTTAGCATTGTTCATGTTGAGACTGTTACTTTCTCAATTCTCACAAAAACAAGAACTCTCAGAGAAGTTGTTTCCAACTCTTTAACAGACAAAAAAAAAAACTCCTTGTTTTGCTTACTGATTACCAGAATGTATTAAGTTAGTAAGTTTTCTTAATACCGTTCTTGATATTAACGGACAAAAGCTTGTACCACAATACAATGCAACTTGCAACTAACAGTTACAAAGGGATGGTTGAATAACAACCAGAATCTTCCTTAATGAATTCCATTCCTTTTCTTTCTCCATTAAAGACTTATTAAATCTTCTCTGGGGTTAAACTGGTAGGGCTTGTCTTGTTTCATATACCTTGTATTGAAAATTTTAAAAGAAACAGATACATAGAACTTGCAATATATAGCTTATTTCCATCATAGCCCTCCTCCCTCACCACTTCACTTCTTTGTTTACCGCTGCTCAGCCGCCGGCAGCATTAGCTCGCGTTCTGTTGATTACGAACAAGGAAATGGTGAGGGACAGAAAGCCAAGAAGAGAGGCCATCGCACCTTCATCGTCTTCATTGTCGACGTCATTGTGCGACTCGGAAATGGAAGATTTGGAACGAATGTCCTTGGTGCCGTTGCCATTGATGAAGAACAACAAGAGATATTTATCGAAGCAATTATCGATGGTCGAGACTAACCGGGACATGGCTTGGGAAAGAAGGCGTCGCCAGATTCTTCGTCAAGGGAGAGGAAAGAATGGGATTAGTGGGAATGGATTGACTGATGAGGACCTGCATGAACTTAAAGGGTGCATAGAGCTCGGATTCGGATTCAACGAAGAAGAAGGCCAAAAACTAACAAGCACATTGCCTGCATTAGACCTTTATTTCGCCGTAAACCGCCAGCTTTCTCCGAGTCCGGTCTCGACCCCTCAAAGCCAATCCTCATCGTCGACATTATCGATCAGTGATCGGTCATCTTCTTTAGGAAGTCCTACAAGTGAGTCAGATTGGAAGATTTGTATCGCAGGTAAGTTTCAATGCCAAAGATGCATAATCACAAAATTAGCCCCTAACATTTGCACAAGTGGTCAAGTTGCCCATTATTATTTTTGAGTTTTTAACCCTGAACTTTTCAATTTTGATCAAAATAGTTAATATTGGATGAGAACGGTTAGTTGATTAATGATTAACATATGTTGGTGACATGGTATTATCACATGTATTTAAATAATGATGTGTCATTTGTCATATCATCACATAATTACTTTGGGTAACATGGCACATAATTACTTTGGGCGACGTGACAAATTTCACGATATCACTTTGAGGACATAGTACATGTCACGTCAACTACATATGTTGACCATTAGTTTTCTAACTATTTTTATTTATCAGAGATTATTTTAATCAAAAATTAAAATGTTAGAAGCTAAAATGCTTAAAAAAGAATAAAAGATAAGTCGACAATTTATACAAACATTAGGTACTAATTTCATCATTATATCGTGACAAAACACAAGCATAAACTAACTATACATACATACATACATACATACATACATTAATGTGGTGCCATTTGGCGATTTGTGTTTAGCAGGGGAAGATCCAGAGCTAGTGAAGACAAGGCTAAGGCATTGGGCGCAGGCTGTGGCATGTTATGTGATGCAATCATTTTAAGGTGTTGGGGCAGAAGAATAAAGAAAATATGTACCAGAAAGGAAGATTGTGAAACATTTCGAGGTGTTGCTGTCGTTTAAAAAGAAAAAGAACAGTTGCCTTTGTGTTGGGAAATAAACGAGCAATAGTAATTTTCCTATAACCAGATTAGCGAGAATGCAAAAATAAAAGCGGAAAAATAATGCCCGGAATTGATAACGGAGTTCAGCCAATTATGCCTACGTCTCCGGACTGCTGTAGATCTTTTACTAAGAGAGAAAATTTACAGGTGTTTTCAAAACACTCACTACTCACAAGAACGTTCTCTAGTATTGGGAGAAAGAAATTATTTGAGATGATTTTGAAGCTAAATGAGCTAGGGTATTTATAGTTGAAGCTTAAGGACTAATCTTATAAATACCCTAAAGTTCAATGACTCAATTTTATAATTTATCCCTTCATAATTTCAACAATTTGGTGCTGCCTTTGAATTCTTCAGCCGCCCCATTTGCAGCTTTTATTTGTGACAAATCACCCGCCTATTATTGCTTCCATTAGCCGCCCATTATGTTGAAGAAAATCATCCATTTTCTTTGACTTTCAACAATCTCCCACTTGAAGACTGGTTTTAATCTGTCTTCACACCTCGATCAATGCAACAGCTTTTCTAGTATTGTTATTCTAGCATCCCAACTGAAGTTGAACACAACTTCAGTTTGTCTGTAGTCACCGTCTTTGTTAACATGTATGCCGGATTTTGAGCTCCACTAATCTTTTCAAGTTTTAAAATCCCATCTTCCAGAAGAGACCGAATAAAATGATATCGTGATTGTATGTGCTTCGTTCTGGAATGAAAAGACGGATTCTTTGCTAAATGGATAGCACTTTGACTGTCGCAATACAAGACATTGTTTTCTTGTTTCTTGTCTAACTCTTTCAAGAAACTTTGGAGCCAAACCATCTCTTTGCTGGCTTTTGTAACAACGACATATTTTGCTTCAGTTGTGAAGAGAGCAACTATCTTTTGTAGTTGAGAAACCCAACTCACTGCAGTACCTCATAGAGTATAAACATACCCTGTAGTGCTTCTTCTGATGTCAATATTTCCGGCTAAGTCAATATCTACATAGCCTGTCAGTATCGTATCTCCACCTTTGAAACAAAATGCTTTGTTTGCCGTACCCCGCAGATATCTGAGGATCCATTTGACTGCTTCCCAGTGTACCTTGCCCAGATTATTCATGTACCTGCTAACAGCTCCCACTGCTTGAGCAATATCTGGTCTGGTACAAATTATGACATACATCAGACTTCCAATTGTTGAGGCATACGGCACCTTCACCATGTGTGCGCGTTCTTCCTCCATCTTTGGTGATTGTTCTTTGAAGAGTCTAAAATGAACACCTAAAGGTGTACTTACCGGTTTAACATCTTGCATGTTGAACCTGGAGAGTACTTTATTGATATACTCAGCCTGTGATAACATCAAAGTCCCTGACTTTGTATCTCTCTTAACCCTCATCCCAAGAATCTACTTTGCAGCGACCAAATCTTTCATTACAAACTGCTTCGACAATTTTTTCTTCAAGTTTATAATCTCTTGCATGTCTGAATCTACAACAAGCATGTCATCAGCGTATAACAATAAAATAATGAAGTTATTTTCGAACCTCTTAATGTAGCAACAATGATCTGCTTGGCATCTGGTAAAACCACTGCTACTCATGAAGCTATCGAACTTCTTGTACCACTGTATAGGAGATTGTTTTAAAACATACAAGCTCTTCTTCAACCTACATACCAGGTTTTTCTTGCCTGCCTCTATGAAGCCTTCTGGCTACCTCATATAGATTTCTTCCTCTAAATCACCATGAAGGAAATCTGTCTTTACATCTAACTGCTCAAGATGTAGATTTTCTGCAGCTACAATTTTCAACACCAGTCTGATTGTAGACAATTTTACGACTGGAGAGAAAATTTCATTATAGTCAATACCTTATTTTTGATGAAAACCTTTGACAACCAATATTTCTTTGTAGCATTTGCTCCCATCGTGCTCTTATTTGATCCTGTAAATCCACTTGTTATGGAGTGCTTTCTTGCCTGGTAGTAATTCAACTAATTCCCACGTCTGATTTGACATAAGCGAGTCCATCTCATCTTTCATGGAATACTCCCACTTGACTGAATCCTCCACCTACATTGCTTCATCATAGCACTTTGGTTCACCATTGTCAGTCAGCAACAAGTAGTGCAAAGAAGGCGAATAACGCTGTGTTGGTTTAGGAATTCTGGAGGAGCGTCTCAATTCTGGTGTGCTTGGTTCTTCTTGAACTGCTTCAGGATTGATCTGAACATCATTTCCAAAAATCTCCTCGAACTCAACAAATTCCTTTGTTTCAGCTTCGGTATTGGAGCTACTTGATTCTATGGTTGATCTCACTTTGTACATCACATTCTTATTGAAAATGACATCTCTGCTTCTGATGATTTTTCGATTTTCATAATCCCAAATCCGGTAACCGAAATCATCACCACCATAACCAACAAAGACACATTTGTTGGACTTGGCATCAAGTTTACTTCTTTTAGCAGAATTTATGTGTACATAAGAAATACAACCAAATACTCTTAAGTGTGAAATGTTTATTTATTTCTTGCTCCAAAATTCCTCTGGTATTCCACCATCCAAGGGAACTGAGGGCCACGGTTGATCAAGTAAGCTGCAGTGTTGATAGCTTCAGCCAATAGAAATTTAGGCAATCCGGCATGTATCCTCATGCTTCTGGCACGTTCATTTAGAGTTCTATTCATGCGCTCTGCTACGCCATTCTGCTGCGGTGTCATGATAATTGTTGTCTCCATCTTGATCCCATTATTTGCGCAGAAATCTCTAAATCTATTATTTCTGTACTCTCCTCCATTGTCAGGCCTCAACCGCTTAACTTTCAAACCAGTCTCATTTTCCACCACAACCTTCCATTTTCTGAAGGTATCAAAGACGTCTGATTTCTTCTTCAGAAAATAAACCCACACCTTCCTTGTTAAATCATCGATGAAGGTGACATAATATAGCGAGCCTGCAAGAGATGAAACTGGAGATGGTCATCATATATCAGTATGAACCAACTCTTACTTTTCTGCCTTGGGTGTCTTGCCAATCTTTGCAAAACTGACTTTATTTTGTTTTCCAAAAATGCAATCATTGCATAGTCCGACATCTACATTCTTTATATCAGGCAGCTTACCTTTTGACAAAAGTGTCTTCATCCCTTTCTCGCTCATATGGCCAAGCTTTTGGTGCCATAGGTTTGATTTTCCATCAGCATCTGCTACTGCAATGATATTCTCTAAATTTGAGGTTACATAGAGAGTACCAGTCTTCTTACCACGAGCAATGACGAGTTCTCCTTTGGTAATCTTCCATTCACGGCCTGAAAAGGTTGTACTATAACCTTCTCCATCAAGCTGTTCTACAGAAATCAAATTTCTTTTGAGGCCAGAAATATGTCTCACTCTTTTCAGCGTCCAAGTGGTCTGGTTTGGCAACTTTAGTCGGATGTCTCCTTTTCCGACGATCTTCAAGGTTTCATCATCAGCTAGATGAACCTTCACAAAATCACCACTGACATAGATCTCCATGATTTCTTGGCATGGGGTGGAGTGGAAAGATGCCCCTGAATCTAAGATCCATGATTCAATCGGACTGTTGACGCTTAGAATCATGGCATCACCTGTCTCCTCTGTCGTGTTGGCAGATTCTTGTGTGCCAGTATCTTTCTTTAGTTCTCGGTAATCTCTTTTAAAGTGACCCTTCTTGCCACAATTATAACAGATAAAATCTTTTTTTCCTGTTCTTGATTTTCCCATTCTGGATTTCGATCTTCCACGATTTGAATTTCTTTCTGAAGTTCTCCCTCTAGACTCTGTGTGCAAGGCTGAGGAGGTTGATGCTTCACCCGATTCTCTCCGTTGAATTTCTTCACTCTATACCAGATCCCGAACGTCGTCGAATTTCAATTTGTTATTTCCCGACGAGCTGTTGACTGCTATAACAGTAGCATTCGAACTGTCTAGTAGAGATGATAAGAGAATTAAAGCTCAAACTTCATCATCGAATTCAATTTCCACGGAACTCAATTGAGTTATAATTGTGTTGAGTTCATTTAGGTGTTGAGCCACTGATGCCTCTTCCGCCATCCGCAAATTGAATAATCGCCTCATCAAATAAACTTTGTTTGATGCCGATGGCTTCTTATATATACTGGAGAGAGCCGCCATAAGACATGCCGTGGTATTTTCCTTTGCTATGTTGAAAGCAACATTTCGGGACAACGTCAGTCGGATGACTCCGAGGGATTGTCTGTCGAGAAGAGCCCAGGTTTCATTCTTCATGCCCTCTGGTTGCTTTCCTGAGAGAGGTTGATATATATTTTTTTTTGTACAGAAAATCTTCAATCTGCATCTTCCAAAAGCCAAAGTTCGCACCATCGAACTTTTCAATTTTCACATTCCCTTTGTCTACAGCCATCGCTCCCACTCGAATCTGGATTCGTTTGGATCGTTTCTGACAATTCTTGCGAACCACCGTTTATTAGGAAGCCTCCGTCGAAAAATTCATATCGCCGACAAAATTTTTACTATTCACGAAATTCACTATTCACGTTAATAGTAATAAATAGTAACCTCGCAAAAAATTGACAAAATTCACAACCAAAAGCTCTGATACCAGTTGTTGGGAAATAAACGAGTAATAATAATTTCTCTATAACCAGATTAGTGAGAATGTGAAATAAAAGCGGAAAAATAATACCCGGAATTGATAACGGAGTTCAGCCAATTATGCCTACGTCTCCGGATTACTGCAGATCTTTTACTAAGAGAGAAAATTTACAGGTATTTTTAAAACACTCACTACTTACAAGAAAGTTCTCTAGAATTGGGAGAAAGAAATTATTTGAGATGATTTTGAAGCTAAATGAGCTAGGATATTTATAGTTGAAGCTTAAGGACTAATCTTG